AATGTTAGAGGAAGTGCTGGTTGCCGTCTTGCTGTTAGCTTGCTGAATGGAAAAAGTAGCATGAGATATTTTTAGAGTTGACTGCTTCTAATTCACCAGTAGCAGCTCAACGTTAGCTCAACGTTAGCCTTCCTCACCCAGGGGCGTCGGACTGGGGGGGAAAGGGTACCGTTTACCCAGGGCCCACTGCAGGGAGGGGCCCTGAGACAGCTTTGAATAAAAATGTTTTATTGTTGTTGTTTTTTCCCCCCAACTTACTTAATGTCTTAATAAACTTCCCTTTACCTGGATAAAGAGGTTAAGAAACAGAATTTCGCCTTAAAAATAATAACTGAATAATCTCTGAGGCATGTATCACCCCTTAAAAATGTGCAAAGCGGTTTAGTCCACACCTGCGGCCAGGGGCTGCACGGCCACATGTACAGCTATGAGACATTGCAGATGCCGACAGCCAGAGCTGGAGGCAGGAGAGTCAGTCATGTCTTTTCCCAAGAAAGGGAAATCTGGCTTCCAGAAAAGAAAAGGAGAAGGAGGAAAAGTTAATTTGAACAGAAGCAAGTAGAAGGACGGTGAGCAGCAGCAGCAGAACACAGTTTTAGCTGATATTAGCTAGCTCTCAGAAGCTGCATTCATGTTAGGTGTTCAGTGTTAAACGCCTTTAGTTTCACCATCAAGATCAAATATAAATTAATTAGTGTTATCAGTGAAAACACTAATTAATATATATGAATTAATCAGAATTATTATCGCGGGCGGCCGCCGCCAATTAATTCGCGGACCTCGCAGTAAAAACAGGTTCACTCTGTGTGGATATTTCAGCTCCTTCCCAGTCATGGACCAGGACAGGCCTGGTATCGATGGATTCGTGGTAATCTCAGGAATGTGAAGCTGCCACTGTTTTTCGTATAGCATGATGACATTGGTGTTAGAGGATTGTTATTGACTTGGTTAGATATTTTAAGCCTATTTTAAATTTCTTTATATTTGATCTTGAAAACGGACAATCTTATAATTTGGCTGATAATGCAGGGATTATAAAATTTAGAGTACATTACATTCACAGAGAGAACCTGGTTTATTTCATGTCATATGTATTTAATATATCAATATATATCAGTATCAGCAAAGCTTTACATCATGAACCATGACAGACATGACTGAAGAGCAGATGAAGATATCGTGCCAGGCACTGATGAGAAAATATTACAAGGATCTCACAGCTGAATTTGAGAATGAGATGCTACACCTGAGAACAATATATGGTGCCACATTTCCACACATTCGGTCTCCCCTTGAGCTGCTTAATGCCATACAGGATGCAATTACAGAGCATTTTTGGAGAAGTTTGTATTGGACTGAGGATATTTTGCACACTACCTGTGACTGTTGCTGGGGGTGAACGGGCTTTTAGCAAACTGAAACTGGTGAAAAATTATTTGAGATCAACAATGTCCCAGGATAGACTGAACAGCCTAGCTCTTCTTTCTATTGAAAGCCAATTAGCCAAAGGATTGGACTTTAAAGATCTCATTAGTGATTTTGCTAACATGAAGACCCATCAGTGGGCATTTACTGGAAATAAATTCCAGGATTTTTGTTTGAACACATTGTTGGCAAATAAAAATTATATGTGAAGTCTGGGCATTTCACTTTTATTATGTTGGCATTTGTATTTGCTCAATATAGAGGTTAAACTAAGATCATATTTATTATCTTGTCTTATAGCATGACAAAAAATGTGTAAGAGAGATATTAAGTAATTGAGCATGGGGGCCCACCTAGAAGACTTGTACCTAGGGCCCAGAATTTGGTGCTACGCCCCTGTCCTCACCCAATAGTAGAGTAAAACAAAAAGAGTCCTTGACTTCTTGGGGAACAAGAAATAACTTCTGGGTTGCTCCTGTTTACTGGCTTTGGTTGTTTAACACAACTCTGGAGCTGTTAGCCTACCGGTGTTGAATTACAAATGCTGCTGGATCTGTAACTTCACAGAGGGTAGGTAAACAGTAACAATGTCCCCCTTTCGTTTTTTCAAAAGGAGAAAAACCAATGACCCCCTATCTGGCTGAGAATGAAATTTGTTTCCGACCTTCCTTCCAACATGACTGAGACATTAGACTGTTATGGGATTGATTCACAGTAGAATTCTTACAAATTGTGACCTTGATAGTTATAGAAAGTAATGATTACTGACACATCAACAAAACCTGTAAGAGCCAACTTCAGTCATGGTTATTCAATAGCAACCAAACAAATGGCTACAACTCATTCAAAGCAACAGTTACTGGGCTATAATACTAAATGGTGGTAACTGAGATGTTTATGTTTATGTATTTAGCAGATGCTTTTATCCAAAGCGACTTACAATTTCAAACCTATAGGGCATGTTGTGATCTGTAGGGGAAACCCGAGTACCCGGAGGAAACCCACGCATGCATGGGGAGAACATGCAACTCCATGCAGAAAGGCAGCAGCCGAGCCGAGTTTCGAACGTGTAACCTTCGTGCTGCGAGGCAGCAGTGCTAACCACTGCGCCACCATGCAGCCCATTATTTATGTATGACATTATTTTCATGTATTGTGTGTGAATGGGTGAATAAAAAGTGCTTAAGGGGGTTGTAGAACTCTGGAACGTATCATATCAAATACAGGCCATTGACCATAATTTATCAACATAAAATTATTTTCATTTAAAACTTTGGTATGACGTGATAGCCGTTGTTGCTTCAGGCCTTTAATGTCCAATGTTTTCTTTTAAATACATCCTGTAAAAAGAAATTTAAATGTTCGAATATTAACAAACTGTTATTCATCAAATATGTTTACATATCTGAAAAATATTTTAAACACATTTTTTAAAGAAATGTTTTCCTTCCTGCACTTTACACACAATAGGTCAAAATGATAATGAACATCCACAAACATCGTTTCGCATTTTGTTCATTTGCCTACAGTGATCTGGTGCTAAGTGGCATCAGCGTTGTTGGTCAAACCTGGAGATTTCTGCTTTGGCATTTTTAAATCTCTCTCTTTTTGACGACTGGTCCTTTTCTTCAGACAGCCTCGAGCTGAGTTTGACCTTGAGTTTGAATAGTCATGTGTGAGGCTCTTATCTGTGTAATCTGAACAAAAACACACACGTGCAACTCTGGGACAACATTATGAAGCCTGAGGTCTTAGTCACTTAGAAAAAGGCTTTTCCCAACATTAATTTGAACCTTTCATCTCAGAATATGACAGAATATCCATTCAGCCATGAAATAAACCAACTGAAAGAATATTACACATAATTTTTGATTTTCAGTCAGGCTTTTGTAAATCTCACTCCACTGAAAAGGCCCTTTTCAGAGTCTCAAATAATATTTTGATGCAGGAATATGCAGCTTTCGATACCGTTGACCGTTCGACTCAGGGTGAGTGATCATCTTCGTGCTTGTTGGTTAAATGAGTTTTCTTGGATCCTAATCCTGTCCTGTTTGATGTGGAGTTCCTCATGGTTCTGTTTTTGGGCCACAGTTGTTTTTGTTCTGTCTGCTTCCTCAACAGTGCAATCTTAGAGATACCTATCATTTTTATGCAGATAATTTCTAGATGGATATTTGTTTTCCTCCATATGATGTTTAAAAACCATACAATTGGGTGCCAGAATGACTGTTTTCTTTAAAAAAATATTTTTATAGAAAATTGTATTCATTTAATTATTAAATGAAGACAAAAGTTAGAAAATTACCTGAAAACAATAACTGTAAAGACAACAGAGATTCTTGGGCCTATCGAAAGACTGGGGCAGTCTGACAGAGGCGAGCTTGCCATTTTAACCATCAGCCCCTCTGACCACCACCAACATTCTCCAAACTCCATTGTCTCTTGTCCTGAAATGGACATTTTAACCCGCACCTTGTTTAATTTTATCTGGATTATTGTATTGCATGTGATTTCACACATCTATTCATCTAAGGTGCTTTCCAACATGATCAGCCATTCACCCACGCAGCACACATTGATGATGACTGTAGCCCCAACTACCCTGGGGCACTCTGACGGAGGCAAGGCTGTGGTACCCTGGCATCACCGGTTCCTCCAACCACCACCAGCAGGCAATGTGGGTTGAGTGTCTTACCAAATGACACAACGATAGCGACAAAGCGGTGCTTAGATCTGCAACCTTCCGATTACGGGCCATTGTCACGTTGTCCATCAGACACTCACTCACACAGAGGGAAAATGTAGAGTTGCCAGTTAACACTTGCATGTTTTTGGTTGGTGGGAGGAAACCAGAGAGAGCCCACACATGCATGGGGAGAACATGTTAACTCCAGGATCCAAACCTGACATGTTTTCAGTGATGCATCAGTGCTACAGTTTCTTTACACCCCCCATCGGCAGTAGCTCAGGAGGTAAAGCAGGTTGCCTCATGATCGAAGGGTCATGGGTTCGACTCCAGCTCCCGCCAGGGGTATTCTTCTGTTGTGTCCTTGGGCAAGACACTTCACCCAACTTGCCTGTGTTGGTGGTGGTCAGAGGGGCCGATGGCGCCAAATGGCAGCCTCGCTTCTGTCAGACTGCTCCAGGGCAGCTGTGGCTTCATAGTAGCTATCACTGGCAGTGTGTGAATGTGAAAGTGCATGAAAGAGTCTTTGAGTGTCCCAAAAAGCGCTATATAAGTTCGATGTATTATTATCAGGTCCCTGAGGTAATCTGAATAAGACCTGCTGATAGTCCCTCACTGAAAACCAAAGGAGACAGAGCTTTTTATCTTTTGACTCCCAACTCAGGAAACTCCACCTCTGACCTGAGATCATTAGACTCTGTTGCATTCTACAAAAGTCAGCCCAAAAACAATCTTTTAAAACCAATTATGTTAATAGCTCTTGTTTTCTTGGTTTGTGGTTTTTACCCTGAAAAGTGCTTTGCAAAAATGTCATTTTTGACTTATCTGCACAACTCCAGAAATGTGAGGGAATTTGTGAACGACATCCGTTTATGAAACACTTCAAATATTATCTGTACAAAACATTTATTTGAAATAAACAAAAAAGCTTTCGTTCCATCTACATCATTTATATCTGAATTCCATAACAAGCAAACAGTAACTAGGAGACAAATGGCTTAACAGTGAACAAAATCGTGTCAAAGTTAACTGAACAGCTTAGACTTGCAAAAGTAGGTAAAAACAAAGAAAACACGCTGCTCGGAAAGATTACGGAAACGCAAAAACAAGACATCTAAGATTTGATCGCATGAAATATGAACTATTTTGTTCTTTACATAGTTGAATATGCTGACAACAAATTCCCAATAAATCTTTCAATGGAAATCAAATGAATGAACCCATGGAGGTCTGAATTTGGAGTCACACTCAAAGTGAAAGTGGAAAAACACTACAGGTGGATCCAACTTGGATGTAACGTCCCGAAAACACGTCAAAACGAGGCTCAGAAGTGTGAGGCCTCCACAAGCCTGCATGACCTCTCCACAGCGCCTGGGCATGCTCCTGATGAGATGATGGATGGTCATCTGAGGGATCTCCTCCCAGACCTGGACTATAGCATCCGCCAACTCCTGGACAATATGTCGTTGGTGGATGGAGTGAGACATGATGTCCCAGTTGTGCTCAGTTGGATTCAGGTCTGGGGAACGGGCGGTCCGGTCCACAGCGTCAATGCCTTCGTCTGGCAGAACGGCTCCAGCCACACGAGGTCTAGCATTAGGAGGAACCCAGGACCAACCGCACCAGCATATGGTCTCACGCTGTGCGAACACTCAAAGAAAGGCTAGCCCACACCACTACTGACCCACTGAGAAGTGGTCTGTGGTCACCACCTGCAGAATCGCTCCTTTATTGGGGATGTCTTGCTAATTGCTTATAATTTCCACCTTTTTTCTTTTCCATTAGCTATTTCACAGAAGTCTGATCGACTTGGAGGTACATCGTGTTGTTTAGGTGCTTCCTTAATTTTTATGAGCAGTGTATATATTAACACACACACACACACACCCCTCAGATCTGCTACAGAAAAGACATTTTCTTCTTCTACATTGAAATGTTTCCACTGCTACTTTGCTTTAAGCCAAAAGACTTTGTTGCTGAAATACAGATGCAGCAGACAGGAAGTGTCAAGTGAAAGAGGGGAAGGTTAATGGAAACTGATGCAGGCTGTAATTTCATTAAGTATCACTAGATGGCAGTGCCAGCACTGTAGCATCACTCCACAGCAACAATATATACTCTGTAGTTCTGTTTTCTATACAAATATCAGAAAAACTGGCAAAGAAAGAAAACTGTTGGCTGTTTGTAATTTCATACATTTTATACCACACAATATCCATTCTTTAAACACAACATGCACTATGTAAAGTCTGCATGCTCTGTGTGTCATACATCTAAACACATGGGGCAGTTTGGGAAAATAAAAGCACATTTTTTTTTCTTTCTAAAAATCCAGAAAAGATTTCCTTCATCTGAGCAAGTCTGACCAAAACAAAAACAATCCGTACCTGCGCTCAGCCACCTCCACGCGTCGGTATTTATTCAGTCAGTTAACTAAAAACAGATTCAACTTCCGAAGACTGACACGTTTGACTTTAGCTCCGATTTGACACGATACATTCTGCATTAGACACCACGTTGGTCTAGATAAAGCTATTAATATAGCACATTTACAATAGTAATCAACCAAGGCCTCTAAAACGTTTGCCGGAAGTCAGCGAAGAAATGGCACGTGGACCTCTGACGCGCCGACGCAGAGGGTCTAGTGCTGAACTGAACTCGGTATGGTGAGCAGGAACAGAATCGAACAAAAAGGAAATTCAACTACAACTTGGAAAAGATGTCAGTCGTTTCACCCGGCAGCCCAACGGCACAAGCAGTGCGTTCCCACCAGGGTTGTTTTGGCAAAGGTATAAATAATAATCAATAATTTCAATAAATATGTCAATAAATAGAATGACCTTTGAACTTTTCCAAGTTACTAAGAACATCATGAAAATGTTCCACCTAACTCTGAACAGCTGACTCAGCAGAAACGTTTGGTCAAACTCCTACGAAGCTCGATAACACTGAACATAGAAAAGACTGAGAACGTTTACACCAACAAACATAATGCTGACTCACTTCTGAAGGAACAAGATGAAACATTTTACACCTAAGTGAAGAACAAAGAGGTAAAACTGTGATTAGTAAGGATGGATGTAAGTATTTGCCAACAATCAGTCAGAAACTTATCCAGGAACTGAAGCTTAAATCTAAAAAAACAAGCTTAAACTCATCCTACATGTGCCAGAGGTCAGTGCTTTAGAGGGGCACAGTCAGTGACGTCACTAATGCCACTCCTACAAACCAGTGTATATCCTCGTCTCCTGGTAGCGTCTCACGACGCAGCTGGAGGTCCAGCGACTCGGCTCCAGACTTCTGTGCTTTCAGTGTTTGGCTGCACGTTGCTTCTCAACCGGAGAACACGCAAACGTTTTGTGGTGGCTTCTAGAACGGATTAAGTGTTGATCTGATCCCAAAAACCTCTGCTTTGTTCTCACGGTTAAGCTTCAGCATTTGGTGAGTAGTCAACAATGTCCAACTACCGATCAGTCCAGCTCCACTTTCCACTTCTTTTGTTTTTCTTTTCTTTAATAATTAAAAAAAAACAACCATCTACTGGCTTTTAAATGGAAAGCTGGCAAGCCATAAAGAGGCAAGCCTGTCCATGAGATGCTCCGTCCACTGACGGAGTTTATGTGCTTTCAGTTTTTTTGACGCGTTGACGTCATTAGCGGTCCCCGGCCTTCAGGGCGTGTCCGAGTGTTTGTAGTAGCCCCTCCGGAGGGCTTCGGAGGCGATGCACTCAGCTGAGCGCCGCTGGTCCATACTTAGCAAAGCCTCCAGCAGGTCGCTGATGTCGGCTTTCAGTCCCTGCCTCTGCATCCAGTTCTTCAGCAGTTCATACACCTTATCACCGGAGTGGCCGCTCTCTGCGATCCGAATGTGGTTGTCGCTGATCCCAATCGACCGGAAGAACTTGTTGTGGATCCGCACATCCAAGAATTCGTCGAATAAGTCAAAGCTCTTCCTCAGGGATTTCTCTGACCCTTCAAAGCAATAAGAAACATAAATGGTCATTTTTACTGAGGATCTCACTGGGACAAATGCAGAGCAACACTAGTGAGGACGTTTCCAAAACATACTGAAATGTTCATTAAAAGTTCCCACATAGCTTGTAACCCCCCCTTGTAATCAGGTAACAGCTACGGGGGCCTGCAGCAGCCAAAATACCTCTGAAACTACCGTGACTTTCCCTACTCTGGTATGAGTGAATACTGTGAGACCCCAGCCATATTTGTCTTTTTAACTTTAATAACTGCGTGATGAATGACCCACGTGAGCCGCAGAGAACGTTCATGTTTTTAAGTCCAGGCTCAAGACCCACCTATTTAGGTTAGCTTTTATCTAATAATTTACTACAGTTTATTTCTCGTTTTACATGATTATATTTTATAGCTGGCTTAGCATGTTTTATAAGATTATATTTTTGCATTGTTTCATTATTTAATAATATCATAATTTTACTGTCTATATAATTTTATTTATTATTTATTTTTTTACTTTTGTCATTTATATTACCTCTTTGATTTTCATATTTTTATTCATTTTAATCCAGTGTTTTCTCTGTAGGGGCCCTCTGCCCCGGGAGCGGTGGTCGACCGTTGCTTCCTGGGCGCTCTACACTCTACACGTAGTGTTTAAGTGGAGGTGGGGGTCTATGCTCCCCCTCCTCTGAGCGCCCTGACTTACTGTGGAAGACCTGATGCTGCCGGGGCAGACGGCTCCTCTGATGGCGATTCCTGGCCTTACCTTACTTGGCTCATCTGGACTCAGCCGAATATAAATTTTTACTGATATGTGTGTGTGTGTGTGTGTGTGTGTGTGTGTGTGTGTGTGTGTGTGTGTGTGTGTGTGTGTGTGTGCATATGTCTGTTAATGTTTTTAAACTGTTATGGGAATTTGGGGTCATTTTAACTCTGTAAAGCACTTTGAGAAGCACTTAACTTGAAAAGCGCTTTATGAATAAAATTGGATTGATTGAGCGTGATCCTCTGTGTAATGGTTTTATTTATGTCAATAAATTAGCATAACATGATTTTTCTTTTCCTGGACAAGGAATAGTTGCTAGATTCTCATGAATGATACATGATATGGCCCTCTCCTAGAATTTAAATGAAAATAAAAATGGACGTCCGAGACACGTGGCTTTGACTTTTAACATAAACGTAATATTGGCCATCGTAGGACTGGACAATAATTCAATAATGATACATATCTATCGCTAAATGTGTGGTACAACAGAATAAAACTAAGAGTCAATAAAAAGTTTACTTTATGTTTTCATTATAGCCCATCAGATAGCTATTTGTAACCCACATGAGAATTGTGGGTTCTGATCTTAAATATGTGGTTTAGAGGTGCAATTCCCCACCCTGCCAACAGGCGGCGTGCACGTTTTGGGACGGCTGTTTCAGTTCAGTCACCTTTTCCTATTCTGGCAGCCATTGCCCGTGAAACAACTGCCAAGTTAACTGAACGATCCCGGTAAGAAAAGCTGCAATAAAAGCTTAAATTCACAGTTAATCTTCACATACCAGCGATTAATGGACGGCTGTTTATTAGGATCTGCACTCTATGTGAAATTCGCATTTCTTTGTGAAGTAAAAAAAATGGTCATATTCTGACCCCGGATCTAGCAGCATTCCCTCTGGTAACAGCACTCCAGCTCTGACTAGAAATCGTGTCCTTGTATGAACCGAGTGTGTAATTGAGAAATGACTGCTGCTCTAATGTCTCATTTCCCAGGAAAATCTTCTGGATAATGCGTTCCTTGTTTAATTTATTACTAAAACAACAATCTGCATCGTGCTGTCTCCCTAACTACTACTAACGCCTAACTAATCTTTTAAGGTCAAATCCTCTTGAATTCACTTGGTACGTTCCAACTCCCCGCAGGCTCATATCAGGCCCGACTATCATGAGATTAGAAATCCGTCAAGCACCCAAAAAGTTAAATCTAGTGGAATCTTGTTGATTGGATTTCGTGTGGTCCGGCACACACTGCATTCTAACGTTGGCGTTAGACTAGTTACCGTTTAGCAGTGACACATTTCTGTGGCATTTTTATGGTGAGAAAACATCAGTCAAGACTGAGGAGCCCGTTTCCACAGCAGGAATCTTACCGAGTAGTGGAAGCAGGCGATGTCGTAGAGGGTCAACCTGTAGCACGAGGACAAAATGTAAACATAAGATGAACAAACATCAGCTGCTTTAAAGATCAGAGTTTGTTCTGATGCTTTTCCTCACCGTGTCTGCAGGCTGAAGTCTGACCGCCGCAGGGCTGTGGTGCGGGGTGTTCTCAGAGAACGCTGCGGTGGGCAGCGCTGATAGACTCGTCTGAGATGAACTAGTAGTGTTGGGTAAACTGTCTCCAAGTCCCCTGTCCTCATCCTCGAGGGGAGGGCAGGCCTTGGTCATCCCGGCCTGAGTCTCCTGCAGCAGCGGCCGGGACTCTGGGCGCGGCTCTTCGCCCTCCAGGCCGGCGTTTTGATCATTCTGTCTCTCCTCGGCTGTGGCTCCACTCTCGTCCTAACCAGCAGAGGGGCGAACGAGGTAAACTAGTCACACATTGTCCTAAACATCATCTACACTAGTCAAGACTGATTAGACGACTTACAATGGGAATCTTGACAATTTCACTGGAGTCACAGTGGTTCTTGGACCCTGCTGAAAGCAGGGAAACAGCCTTAAGCATGAACACACAGAACCAGTGAAAACAACTCCCAGTCATCAGTAAGTGATGCTAACTCACATGGAAGTTCACACGAACGCTGCTTGATTACAAACCACCACAAGGCCCACGCAATGACGGCGATGAAGATGACAATGATCAGGATGACAAATATTGTGATGACTGAAAGAAATAACACACAAAATCAGTGAAAAAGCCTAGACAGGTTTCAGCTAGAGTGGCTCTTAAAGCCGACTAACAGGCTGTGTGAAAAATACCGTGATTAGTTGGAGAGGTAGAAGTCGGCGGGGTACGATCCGTGGCGCTTTCAGTGGGAGACGGACCCCGTGTTCGGCACACCGTGTTGGAAACAGGCGTGCAGTTCTTCACCACCTCCTCACCTGATTTACACCTATAAACAGTTTTTGGGGAGATCAATAATAATGCATCAACTCCACCAAGCAACAGGCCCAGGGGTCATTACTGTAGTCAGTCCCTGATGCACACTATAGCTCTGAGTGGTGAACAAGTCTCTATAGGCTGGGTCTGGTCTGGTCTAGCCTAATCTAGCCTGATCTGGTCTGATCTGATCTAGTGTAATCTAGTCTAGTCTCATCTGATCTGGTCTAGTCTAGTTTATTCTAGTCTGATCTGGTCTAGTCTAGTCTGATCTGATCTAGTGTAATGTAGTCCAGTCTAGTCTAGTCTCATCTGATCTGGTCTAGTCTGGTCTGGTCTAGTTTGGTCTCATCTGATCTGGTCTGTTCTAGACTAGTCTGATCTAGTTTGATCTGGTCTAGTGTAGTCTGATCTGATCTAGTGTAATGTAGTCCAGTCTAGTCTAGTCTCATCTGATCTGGTCTAGTCTGGTCTGGTCTGATCTAGTTTAGTCTAGTCTAGTTACCTAATCTGGTCTAGTCTGGCATGCCAGCAGGGTGGAAGTAAAATCATCAAACAAGACTCACTTGGCACAACGCTTGCAGACTTCGCAGGCCTGGTCTGGAACACAGAAGGTACCTGGTTTGCACTGGCACCTGGTGTCTGTAGTGGTGGTGCAGGACTTGGTTTCAATCTCATCTGTGGAGAGGTGGGAAAACCATGAAAACACAAACCTGACAACTTATTTCAAATATCTGAATTCTAACATCTTGCTAAACGTTTGGGGTCGTGGGGAACTGGTGTTGGGGGACAGGTCTCCAGTCCATCACAGGGACAACACACACGCACACGCACACACACACACACACACACACACACACACACACACACACACACACACACACACACACACACACACACACACAAACACACACTCCTAGGGACAATTCAGTCTCCCACTAATCAGACAAGCATTTTTTTTGGTCTGTGGGAGGAAACCGATGTACCCAGAGAAACTCCACGCATGCACACGAAGAACACACATACTCTACATGAAACCAAAGTCTTTAAAACCAACAGCAGTCTGTTCAGGTGTGATCCAAATAAACAAATAAACACTCCACCTCCACAGAACACCTGTTATTAAGTGTCCAAACTGACTTTCTACTGATTTTTTTTTGCACAATTAACCCCCCCCCCCCTTTTTTTTTTTTTTTACAGAGGTGTAGTGCGTTCACTTGAAGAAAAAAGAAAACTGTTTTTCTGAATAAAAACTGTTAGGGCAAGGAGGAAAAAATGTTCTGTTCCACGAGTATCGCTCAACGATTCTCGTGTCCTGGCATCGATAACATGATACGGGAAAGTTTTGCTTTGGCTAGAAGATCTGATGGGGCTTTAGTCATGGAGTTCATCCTACTTAGCCAGTTAGTAAAGCCTACAACCACAGAACATCATCTCTATAAAACACTGCAGTGATACATTTATCCATTTAGTTTAAATTATCTCATTTATTCAGAAAAAATTCTTAATTATTTTGAAAAATAATGTTAATTAAAAAGATCAGAGTTTCTATTTTTATCTAATATTATTAGGGATGTCTCATATTATCACCGCCGGTGATGATCAGTATTGGTTTTTTACTCATTTTGATACCATGCACTAGGGCTGCACAATATATCGCAAACATATCGTTGTCGCGATATCAGCATGCACAATATGCATCGAAAACAACAGATAATAATCGCAATGAATGGTCAGCTCAAATATTTGCTACACGAAATGCATTCTGTCCATCAAATGAAAGCATGATGTTTTTTTAACCAATCAAATAGAGTTCTTCACCCATTTGGCCAATTGGGTGGGTTCTCATAGGTCAGATGCCCGCCCCCGAGGTGGACGGCATCTAATTTTGATGGTTAGCAAACACCTGAGTTAGCTTTGTTCTGATCTTTCTGCTGATTCTGCTTTTCCCGGGATCCACTGATTGCCTTTTCTTGTTCATTTTCTTTTTCCCTTTCCACACATTTTTTGCTTTTCTCATTTGTATGACTTTGTCATTTTTTAATTTCTTTGTTTTTGATTATTTTTGTTCTTGAGTTAAGTTTTTATTTATCGCAAGTAATATCGTCATCGCAATATTAATCACTGTTATCGTATATCGCAGGTTTTCCTAATATAGTGCGGCCTTACCATGCACATACTGTACATCATGCTCCTCAGCCACTCTTCTCACCCAAAGTGTCCACATATTATTTCATATAATATGAAGTTTGCTTGGCACAACTGGCCTAACTTAAATTGATGTAGTCGTCATATTTTACACAGATAATATTTAAAGGAACTTTACAGACTTTTGAATTTTAATGCTCGCGTTTGCCCCCTCAGGCCAAAAGCGTAACGGCAGCTTCAATAGTAGGCTCGTGCATGAGGTGCGCATGCTTTACGTGAACACTCCTTAACGAAAATAACAGCTGAGACAGTCCCTTGTGTGTGTGTGTGTGTGTGTGTGTGTGTGTGTGTGTGTGTGTGTGTGTGTGTGTGTGTGTGTGTGTGTGTGTGTGTGTGTGTGTGTGTGTGTGTGTGTGTGTCGGATGATAGAGGACAGGAGAACGTGCAGCTAATTAATTAAATATCTTGGTTCTGTACCTTTCTCTTCAGCACAGCCGACAAAGGTTTAAGATGGGTCAGTCCTCCTGCATGCTCAGATCATTCCCTTCCCTTGCTTGAAAAATTGTTCCAAAATGAAAGTTGAACCCACATCTTTTTTATCTGCAAATTCAATGCCGTTCGGCGAGTCTCAAATAAAAATTTGGGCATCTTACTGTAAAAAAAATATACCATTAATGGAAAAAATAAACTCTAAATGAACTATGTTCACGTCTAGAATCAAACCCAGGTCTTCTGCATGAGAGTCAGACATCTTACGAGGTGAGCTACACTCTAGTAACATTCACATCATCTGTAACATTTATATCCTTGATGACACCTGAAACAACGTCAATCCAAAGAACGGTTCGAAGCGAAAATGGCTATTTTGTTGCTAATTTGCAAGAAATATCTAGAAGAAAGTTCTACAGAAAGTAGCTAAGGGTCCTCAGAAATGTAGCTAGGTTTGTCACTAGGTGTTAGGAACAGCGAAAAAGTGGCACTACCTCTCTCTGCTGCTAAAGCTACGGATAGCAAATGCTACGGGCTATGCCTGAGCGTGAACGCACATGAAGCAGCCCGCTCGACCCGAGCATCTCTCTTTTTCTGTGATTTTACAGAAAAACAGGCAATCACAGTAAAAATGCCAGGGCTCATTCTACAGGACCAGGGCATTGCAGGAGAATGTATGAAGAAGAAATTTATTATTTCTATACATGTTTTGGCTGTCAAATTTCCATCTAGTCCCTTTAATAATGTTAGGTATTCATGATATGCTAGTTATGGTAAAAGAGCTGTACTTGTACAGTATAGCGCCTTGTCAGGGTTCTACAACCCCCCACAAGGCACATCACAATACAATCAGTCATTCATTCATCCATTCACACACACATTCACACGGTAGTGGGGATGAGCTACAATGTAGCCACAGCTGCCCTGGGGCGGACTGACGGAAGCAAGGCTGCTGAACACTCGCACCACAGGTCCCTCCGACCACCACCAGTAGGTAAGGCAGGTTAAGTGTCTTGCCCAAGGACACAACAGCAGAATTCTCTGGTAGAAGCCGGGATTGAACCTGCAACCTTCCGATTACTGGACAACCTGCTCTACCTCCTGAGCTACCGCTAGTTCCCTAAAACGGTTTTCCTCTCTCTTTGGGAGGGGCAAGTAAGCATCGGAGAGTTAAGACTGTATCAATATATCTGATGTCGGTGAAAAAGCCGATATCAAACATCCCTTAATAACATATAATAATATCTTATTCATGCCAACGCTCACCTAAATGAGCCGTTAAAGATGTTTTTTAATGATCTCAAAAGGTTGTAAAACAGTTTGCTGTTCGAGGGTACGCCTGCTGCCACGTGTTAAAGCCATACAAAGTTTTGTCACATAAAACAACAACTGCTACTCTCCCCATAACAACAACGGCTTCCTTTGTGATCATTTTAGTGACATTTAAATCATAAAAATGCAATTACTCTGTTCCGAATCAGAACAACTCAGTTGTTGTTTTAGTCTTTTCTACAGGCTGAGCCCTTAAAGGAAAGAGGGGAAGTTTTATTTACAACAGGCTGTTAAACACCAGGCCCTCAAGTGCACTAGCCTCTGACAGGAGTGAGAAACATAAATAAAAGAAAGAAAAAAACAACTTACTGCTGATTTAAGTATGATAGAAAACTATATTTCAAATATATTAGTTGTTTAAGTTTTTTTATGAAGATTCTTGTAATATTTATGAAGTTCTTTGCTAAAATCAAGCAGGTTTCGGTATTAAGAACAGCTGAACAAAGCTGAATCTGTCGTGCATAAAACACAACATTGTTCACGGATATAGTCGCAACTGTTTTCCACCGAGTTAATGCCATCAGGCTTTAATTGTGGGGGGTTATTTTGTTATTTTATAATAGTCTTTTCAAACTTTGGTGAAAGCATACATTTAGTTTCTGCAGAGATGTGATCTGGAGGTTAATTTTTGTGTCAGGACTGAGTCGTGGAGCGTCGGATTGATGCAGCAACAGCTGTATACAGGCGTAAAGTCAACGGAACAATCAAACAGTTGCTGTGCCTGAACTGTGAGTCCAGGCCGGATAATTCTCAAAGCGTGAGTGGGAAAATGGTGCAACGGTCCCCAGAGTCACGCAAGGAGATCAAAGTCAATCTCAATACTTTTTTTAGACCTTCTAAAAAAGCTGCAACTAATAAAAAGTCATATTTTGTGATTCAAATGCATAGAAATCCATTTCACAGCTAATTTTTTATCAAAGGCAGAGTTTATCAAAATTTGCTATAATATCAAAAAACTATTAGATGTTACGGCATATTTTATGGTTTTGCCACACGAGTGGAGACGGCACCGAAAGTCATGAGGAACGGAATTACAAGCAAAGAAGGAAAAATAGTTTAACTTTTTTTTAAACCAAATTCAAGATTACAAAATAAATACTTTTCAATTTTACTTTAAAGGGTCTTAAAGCCTTACTAAAACGTTTCAACACTAAGCTATGGCTTTAAAACTGATTTCCGTGACTCTTGAGGTAGAGAATGAACCAACTTCAGACTGAACAGCACTCTGCAGCCCTCTTCTGACCAGAAACAGCACTTAACATTGTTGTGGCACAGGTAGGTTCATGGGGTGAAGGCCTCTAAAGCACATGAAGAAGAATACTAATTATTTTGTGTGCATCATTGTGGAAGCTAAAAGTAAAAGCAAGAGAGTAATCTTTTTGGAAGCAAAGCAAAGACCTAAAACCAGAGTGAGCATTGGCGGGGCCTACGCTAATTTGAGGGAGCTAAAGAAGGCTACAAAATCACAGACCTGACTTTGTTGCTGGAATGATGTTTTTGTCCAACAGTGTAAATCCTTTCTTGTTATGGTTGGTTTTGCATCAGTTGTCTCATGTTAGCGTTAGCTTGTTGTTAGCGCTAGCTACAGAAGGCTGTGGTAGGGTTGTTTATAATAGTTGTAATTCCATTTTCAACCAGTAGGGCAGATAAGGGAGAATACTGTTTAGTGTTGCTTTAATGTTTCTTTTATCAACTGATCAACTTTCATT